CCTTAACCCGGGAGATCATCGTGCCCACCTCCGTGCGCTATGGTGGACTGATCGATCGGCTCGCCTGGCTGTGCATTTGAGGATGCCGGCGGGTTTGTTGTCACGTTAGTGGTCGGTGCATTGCCGACGACACGCCCTTGCGTGGGGTTAGATGGGTCGTTGGCCGGCATAGCTATGCCGGACGACCGCTCTTCTTCTTCTTCTTCTTCTTCTTCTTCTCTTCTTCTTATTTGTCCCTCTCTCTGTCTCTCTTTCTCTGTCTTTGTCTCTCTCTTTCTCTCTCTTTCTCTCTCTCTCTCTCTCTCTCTCCCTCTCTCTCTCTCTCTCTTTGTGTATCTCCGCGATCACCCCCTTTCCTCCGTCCACCGTGCTATGCATCTCCTTGGGCCCCTTCGTTCTTCTTCGCTGTTGCACGTTGCCTCTCGATCCTCCTCGCTATATCCAGTGCTAACCAACACTCTTTCTCGACTTTGAAAGGAGGAAGGTCGCGGGCTTTCTCTCTCTCGCGCGCGGCCTCTTCTTCCAGCAACATCAGGTTGTCTCTCTCCTTTTGCAGATATGTCTGCGCCTGCATGTCGCGTTGCCTGTCTCTCTCCTGTCCAACTCGCTGTGTTTTCTTCCTCGACAGCTGCTTGGAGCTCCCATGCATAGTGTAGCTGCCAGGTGAATCGTCCATGTGTGCAGTGCACGCCATGGACGACATCCCTCCTGTTGAACAGGCTGCTGTCCGGCCATCTTATGCTGAAGGGGCTTATGGCCCCTCCTTGACCGCCGCTGATGCTCCTTGAGGTCGTCCTCCCTTTGCCACGGACCATCGCGATACACAGAGCAATATATATATATATATATATATATATATATATATATATATATATATATATATATATATATATAAAGAGAGAGAGAGATAGAGAGAGAGAGAGAGAGAGAGAGAGAGAGAGAGAGAGAGAGAGAGCGTAGCGGACCCACCAGGTGTGGTGCTCCGCTAGTGGTAGAGATGAAGATGGAGGAAGAAGGGGGGAGCGAGATGGCACAACGCAGCTCCCCACACAAGACTCCAACGCACGTACTTCAAAATGTGTAAGTGAAGAATGAGCTCGAAAACAGACAAAGGTTGGGGTATACCACAGCGGACTGACGGGACTGGACCGGATTGGCTGGTACCGACAGAGTTACCGGCCTGGACTGGACTGCCCCGAATAAAACACAGGCCTGTGAGAATAGGCCAAGAGGCTGGTCTCACAGGCCTACCGGAGGTCCGTTACACGATCCTCGACCTGTGATGGATCGCCTAGATACAAGCACGCTTCCGCCAAAAAGCGAAACTCTACCAAAGAAAAGAAACCTGAGTAGTCTAGGATGCGGAGCAAGCTCCATGCTGAGTCCATGCGATGCAACCTAGGATATAAAATGTCACAGAACAACAATGCCACAGCTAACAGCCTAAGTAAAAGCAAAAACAACTAACTAGCATACATGTCCTAGAAAAGCAAAAACAACTAACTAGCATACATATCCTAGGAAAGCAGAAAGTAGTGACAATTACATCCTAGAATGTTGGAGGCAGTAGCCTCGGTCTGGGAACAACTGACTAGTGTAGAAGTCCTGAGAACAGAAAAAGCAGAACAACTAAATCCTAGAAATGTCAGAGGCAGTAGCCTCAGTCTGAGAGCAACAAAGCAACAACAAGTCAAACATATGTGACATGAGAAGTGTGTCGCAAACCAAGGGGTGGGATGGTCTCTGAGGATGGCGAATGCAGCCTAGGGGTCGAAAACTCCTAGGGGCATCCACACATAGATAACAGGGAGACACATGTCATCTGGCTCAATGAGGGTAGGGAACTGAGAGCGAACAGAACCAATGACCCTAACAGATAGACCATCAGGGCGGGTAATGCTCGACTAAGGGGTGACCGCTATGGAGGGTCGACCATGGGAATAAGGGAGCCTGGTATACTGGGCGCACCTAGATGAAGCATGCGGGGCTGCCTAACTAGGGCGTGAGGGCCGACGAAGAGTAGAAAAATGATGGGTAATGGAATCATGCAAATGACTCCTAAAGTGAGGGAAGTCGGAGCTAGATCCGTAAGATGGGAAGCCAGGGCAACGCTACGGTCCCGATGCTTATGCGT